GATGTCAGACACTGAGCTACAAGATTTGGAGCTACACTGCTGGGCTTTGGTTTTGCTTAAGTATGACTGTAATTGTGCCCTGGTTCTTCACTCTTGGAGTAAGGAAATATTTAACTTGGTTTTGATTTTAAGGGAGCCCAGTGAAGAGACTGAATTTTAAGACATTGGGCTTTTAAAGTGTTAAAAATTGAGAATGTGGGACTTTTAATTATATTATGATATTAACATAAGATCTTTGAGACAAAGGAAAGGTTATGGTTGAATAGTGATGTGTTTGTCAAGTTGACAAGCGGTCATTTGTGCTGGTGAGTTTTTGTTAACTTGACATACGTTAGAGTCACCCGAAAAGAGGGACTCTCAACTGAGTTCCTCCACTTGGCCGTGTCTGCGAGGCATTTTCTTAATTGCTAATTGATGTAGAAGAGCCCAGGCCACTGCAGGTAGTGGCATCCTTGGGCAGATGGGCTTGGGTTGTATATGAAAGGTAGCTGAGCAAGCCAGGGAAAGCAAGACTGTTAAGAAGCATCCCTTTGTGGACTCTGCTTCAGTTCCTGACCCTGACTTCCCTCAATGATGGACTGTGATGTGGAATAAGCCAGATATACCCTTTTCTCTCTCAGGTTTCTGTTCCTGGTATTTTATCACAGCAGTGAAAAGCAAACTAGAGCAGGCAGTGTCCAGGATTAAATGAAAAAAAGTCAGATACAAAGTTCTGTTTATTTCAAGATATTCAATTGTCATGATAAAGAAACTGATCTCTTCCTTGAGTCAGGCATTTAGATTGCCATTAAAGTCATACCTTGTAGTCTTTAATTTGGTGATAAGTCTGTGAAAGCTGGATTGAGATTTTGATTTTGATTTTAAAAGTTTTAAATCTAACAAATATAGACATAAATTACAAAGGCTAAGATTTTATAGTGGGTATATATTTTAAAGTTTTAAATGAATGTCCACAACTTTTTAAACTATCATGTTTTTAAAAATCTTAAAGTTACAAATACACAATTTTTTAAATACCAGATGTTATATTCACACGTATTTTATTTTTACATCAAGTTGTTGGCTACCTTCCACTATAGTCAATTATTTAATGTAACTCAACTATATTTGCTCAACTATATTTGCTTTCCCAAAAACACCTCTCCCCTTATGACTTGAAGAGTCATTTGTTAATAGTAACCTGTTTTGTTTTTACTAGATCTTTCCCTGAATTCAGGCATTACAGTGATAGTACAGTCATCTTGACCAGTTCCCTACACCAACCAGAAACTCCCCTAAACGGTTATTTCTCTTTTCCTAGGATCTGACAGTGATAAATTTCTCTAAATATCCATGTGTTCCACTGATGAAACACTTTGAAAGTATGCTCACTTATCTGTCATCAAATGCAGGCCCCTATGAATGCACACAATCAAATTCATCCCAAATACTATGAATAGATTCTACCACTACAGGCAGGGTGGCATAGAAAGCTTTGGAACTTTATTTTTTGAAAATTTATTGCTAATTATGTGTATGTGTCTTTATATGGGTATGTACATGTAAGTGCAGGTGACTGTAAAGGCCAGAGGCATGGGATCCCCTGGAGCTGGAGTTACAGGTGGTTGTGAGCTGCCCAACGTGGGTACTGGGACCCAAACTTGGGTCCTCTTCAAGATCAATATGCACTCCACTACTAAGCCATCTCTCCAGCCCCAAAAGTTTTGTTTCTGAAACAGGCAAATGGGTTCAAGCCCTGTCTCTTCTACACAATTATCTATATAAGTGAAGAAGTTGCCTAATTTGTCTTAGCATTGAGACCTGAGATTTTTTTGATAAATAGGCTCATGAATATAAAGGATGAAACAAGATCTGTATCACCAGGTGTCCACAAACTGTGCTATTTACTAAACCTGTTCATGCAACTTAATGAGATTCTTAAAAATAAAGCTCTGGAAAAATAATTATTTGAAGTGTGTAAAGAAGTGGAGTTATAGGTCTAAAACAGAGGCTGTTTTGGAAACTGAGGCAATTTAAGATGGCAAAAGCTAGCAAAGAAGAAAACAGCTACTTGAACTCTGCATTTTACAGGTATGAAAGCAAAATACTTTCTAAAGATTTTTTTTTCCTGTACTCATGTTTAACTCCCTTTATCGTCTATAATTAAGTGATGGAGCAGTTGATGGCAAGGGAAATTACATCACCAAATCCTTACCACGGCCACACTGAGAATCAATTCATCCTAGGGAGAGGGAAGTGGCCCAAGTACAAACATTTTTACTTGAGCTGTCACATTATGCTAAGGATAAATTATGGCTGGATTTGAACTCCTGATCCTCCTGCCTCAACCTCCTTAGCACTGGAATCACAGATATGTGCCACTATGCCTGAACAATAGTGTTTTATCATGGTGAACAGTATTGACTTTCCTGAAGTTTCTTATTTTTAGCCAGACAGATTCAAACATACAGTGTCCCTGATGTTTCCTGAAAGTTGAGTCCCAACTGTGGATGAAAACTGTCAACTCAAGTTTAGAAAAGCAAAGCCACACTAAATATGGCATTATCTATGTCCTCACAGTCAGCAACTTTCTCTGAACATCTAGTGACCAGCAACTGAATTCTACCAGGAAGTGTCACCAAAGTAAGTGTAAAGAAACCTCCAACTGAGGGCATGAAAGCAAACACGGTGTGCAGGCAGGCAGGGAGGCAGTGTACACGGCGTGCAGGCAGGCAGGGAGGCAGTGTACATGGCGTGCAGGCAGGCAGTGTACACGGTATGCAGGCAGGCAGGGAGGCAGTGTACACGGCGTGCAGGCAGGCAGGGAGGCAGTGTACATGGCGTGCAGGCAGGCAGTGTACACGGTATGCAGGCAGGCAGGGAGGCAGTGTACACGGCGTGCAGGCAGGCAGGGAGGCAGTGTACACGGTGTGCAGGAAGGCAGGGAGGCAGTGTACATGGCGTGCAGGCAGGCAGGGAGGCAGTGTACATGGTGTGCAGGCAGGCAGTGTACACGGTATGCAGGCAGGCAGGCAGGGAGGCAGTGTACATGGCGTGCAGGCAGGCAGGGAGGCAGTGTACATGGTGTGCAGGCAGGCAGTGTACACGGTATGCAGGCAGGCAGGCAGGGAGGCAGTGTACATGGCGTGCAGGCAGGCAGGGAGGCAGTGTACATGGTGTGCAGGCAGGCAGTGTACACGGTATGCAGGCAGGCAGGCAGGGAGGCAGTGTACACGGTGTACAGGCAGGCAAGCAGAAGGGGATGGGGGAGTGAGAAGAGGCTCTTGTGCCAGCTCCAGAAGTCTCTTCCTCCTCACACCTTTACTCTGGAGCAAAATTAGCCATTAATGCCTACCCCTATTTTCTACTAATTTTACATAATAACTTCAGCAATATTGTTACTTTTTTAGTGTTTCAACTTGATTGGCCCTATTCACTCTGAAACCAACTTTAATTGCATCTGTGGGTCATCCATTTCAGAAAAGGGAGAGGGAAAAAAAAATCTACTCTTGAAATAAGTGAGAACAGTTCCCATTAAATGACTGAAAGCTTGTTGAGCAGTAATTTATAAATGTCCCCAGTCAAAAATAACAAAAATCAGTCACATGTAATGCCAAAATTATGACTCCAGCCTTAAGGCATTTTAGATTGTACTTGAAGCACAAGTTATTTTCACCAATCTTCTGGGCTGCAGAAGGACAGATTATTAAAAGACTCAGTGGTTTAAGTTTCAGAAAAGGGTGTTAAATATTGCCCCATTTCTACTTACCCTTGACCTAAGAATGTCTTAAGTTTATGGTACTGATAGGAAATTCTGGGGAATTAAACAACAGTGTTAAAGTTACCATCATACTGAGGCCTTTAGACTTCATGAGAAATTTAAATGAGGATCTGCGACTAGAAGTGGTAAAAGGGGAAAACATGTCAAGAGGACAAGAGGACGATGTGCTAAAATTCTATTATACCCATAATGAAATTTTATCTAAAGCAATATATGTTACTATCATCAACATTGCTAATTGTACTCAAGTTATCGAGTCTGAGCAAGTTGTGGCAGTTCATAGTTGACTGTGGTGCAACAGTTGCTGGAATATGTCTGCTACATCAGTGGCATACAGCATTTTATTCTAACCTATAAAAGAGAATCAAATGATCAAAATATGGTAAATTTTAATGGGATGAGTAGGTAATTAGTTGCAAAGGCTTTGATAGTCTTTGGAATTAATGAAATTAGATAGCATATACCAGCTCTCAGAAATATGTGGGTACCTCCATACCTATCTCCAGAAAGAAAAGGAACATATACCAACTGCAATAGATTGGTTGACACACTTGCCTAAGTATGTTGATGAACTGAACACAACTCAAAGCTGGCTAAAGTAACTGTGACTAGGAGTCCAGTGAGAAGCAGCCTTGGGCTTGGAGTCTGAGGACGCATAGCTCATTTCCATCTCTTCATAGTGCCACCCAATGTCAGCTGGCCCTAACGAGGTGGTAGTTGTTAGTACCAATAGAAACCAAATGTTTTTTCCCTGCATGTACAGGCAGGTTTGTACTTTTGCCCCAGAATTCCAACGTACAATACTGTGCATGTAACCACCTGGAGGAGCTGGTATTGTATGACTCTTACAGTGTTTGTGACCCAGGAAATCTAGTTGGTGTCCACTGGCTTTTACAGTCAGAGACACATTTGGATCTGGGTTTGAGTCCTCTAAGGAGAAGTACATACATTATATGGGGGCCAACTATTTATCAACAGGAAAAGTAGAAAAGAAAGAATATTGGCTGCTCACCATGTAGACATCTACCTGGCTATGCTGACTGAAAATTACTACGTTATTAATAAAACCATTTCAAAGCTGGGTGTGGAGGTGCAGACCTGTAATCCTGGCATCAGGGAGGTGAGGCTGGAAGAACTCGAGTCCCAGGCTACAAAGTAAGTGCTCACATAGTGAGACTGTGCCAGAATGAGAAGGAGAGAGAGAGAATGATTTTTGAGATTACAAACAACAAAATTCCAAGGCCAGTATGTTTATTATTTTTGTGTTTGAATTAAGATTGTTGATTTCATTTTAATTTATAAGCATTACATTAATTCCCATGCAAAAATCCAAGACCACATATGCTTGATTCCAATTGGTCTAATCCAACCTGTGAGTCTGGACATTCAAGAAAACCAGCATGTGTTTGACTTTTCCATCAGCAGACACCATGGCCGTCCTTTGGGAGATCATCGGGCCCCTTTGATGACTCAAATACCACAGTCCGCCTTCATTTCACAAAAAACAGGGAGCCAATGCTCTACAGCACCTAAATCTGGCAAATAATTTCAGTCATGAAGACAGGACACCCTTAATCCAACACTGCAACCTAGATATGTCCTGTTTCCTGCTCTACAGGGAAACCTGCTTTGAACAGGCATGGTACCTTCAATTTGAGAATAATTCTTCCTGCCAGTTTTTCTCAAAATCTCAGGAGAGAAAAAAAAGAAAAGAAAAACTTTATAAAGGGAAAAAAAAATTACTTGTAGAACCCCAAAAGAAATAAATACAGAGACACCCACTTTAACAAGTATTAACCCACCCCCTAGCTTTAGATAGTCAGTGAACAGGTATAAAGCTTTAAAATCTTCTCTCAGTAGGACAGGAACCTGGAATATCAAAGAGGGCAGAACAGTACCCCGCAGTAAAGGAGAACTAGACAGATGCAAGGAATCCTTCTATCGACTGAGAGAAATGGAACAAATGAAAAACGACAGTATTTCAAGAATGGATGTGAATTTATATCAAAACACACATCGCAGCTATGACAGTGGCCAAGATTTCATTAGTGCAAATAACAATTAGAATGGTATGTTCCTTAATAGGATTTAAATAAGGCTTCAAATACTTACACACACTAAAACTAACGTTTGGAAACCTTAATTCTGTTTGGAAAGCTATCAAACCCACCCTCCAAACCATCCGATGCTTGCTGATTCGAGGACAATTACATTCAGTGAAGTTGCTCCAAAAGACAATCTGCAGCATTACCGCTCTCAAAAGTCTCCATTGTTTGGTGGAAAAGGGGAAGCAAACGACTCTGGCTTCTGGTCAAAATAAACAAACCCAGCCAGCATGCCAGGGGAGAAAAATAAGGACAGAAACAAAACAAAAATAAGAGAATTCTAACGTGTCAGCAAGAAATGGGTTTCCCAAGACCCACTGACAAATCCACACAGGGTATGAGTGACAGAAAACAAATGGGTTCATGGGCATTTTCATCTATGGCTCAAGTTCTCCTTAAAAAAACAAACAATATCTTAAAAAAAAAAAAAAACAAGAGGCAAAACTACATGACAATAACCAGAAAACATAAACCACCAAATCAGGCAGAGTATGAAATAGTAATACACTGTTTCAGAGCCTGCACCAATCCTGCACAACCAGGAAACTTAAAATGAGTTCTTAACAAATCCAATCTAAGCTGGATATGTAAAACCAAAGAATCGCAAACCATACTACATGTTATGTGAGTTTTAGAACCAAGGGGGGAGAAAGTCAACAAATCACTCAGAAAAATTTATCATCGATTCTGAAATGGGGCCTTGTGACATCATCTGGGTTAATAAAGACCGAGATGGATTTCCCCGGATTCTCAGTCACTAGTTGCTGCAGTTTTTTGGCCAGACGGTCATCAGGCTGATTGGGGTCCCCTCCGTCAGACTGTGGGGAAGGGATGCTGGTGGTGCTGCCTCGACGCTGGAGTTTCAGCGTCAGCCTGTTGGCTGCCTTGACATGCTCAATGGCTGTACGCAGGTGCTCTGCTGGATCTGAGCGCACTGATGACAGCTTCCGGGCATGGAGCATGACTGTTTCCTCCGACAGGTGCTCTAGCATGTTGCACTGAGGGATGAAATAGTTAGGGCACATCTTGTTGACCAGGCAGTGCTGTAGGTCATCAATGAGGCCCAGCAAAAAGTGGGCTGCATAGTCTTCTTGAGCTAAGTAGTTGGCTGGGAGTCGATCACAGGCCCAAAGCATCATGCTGCGCAGGTGATAGGGGCTAATGGCCTTGGGCCTTGACAAGAGTTTAATGATGATGGCTTTGCAGGCCTGGTAGGCCTGCATGAGGCTGCTAGAAATGCATTTCTTCAACTGCACCTCACTCCTGGCAAATGACAGGCGCCATTCATTGTCCTTCTTACCCTTGTAGGAGCAAGCAGGCACCAAGTAAAACCCACTGATGACCTCCTCCTCAGTAATCTTCCCATCCCAAAAATGGTTCTCCATGAGCCAGCTCTGGGCAACTGCAGGCCAACCTTTGAAAGATACCACAGGGACAATATCGTACAACATGCGGCTGCTCCCCACGCCCAGAATGATGGAGATGATGGTCCCGTTTTTCTCTACCTTTTCCACCTTTGGCATCCCTCGCTGGGGCTTCTTCTGTATCTCTGAGAGGACAATGCTGATGGAGTCATAGAACCAGTCAGCCACTTTGGTAGGGGAGAAGAAGTAGTTGGTGGCACCATTGATGTGATCTGCTATCGTGCAGCAGTCTTTCCATTTACTGATTGTCCCCTCATCAAAGAGCCGAAGGCTCAGCCAGGAATGGCACAAGGCTGAGTGGCGCATATCGAGTGTCACAGGCTGATTACGGTCATGCAGCTTAAGGGCTGGCACCAGGAGAGTGAAGTCCATGTCATAGTCAGTGCCCCGGGCATAGACATTTAGGTCATCTAAGTCCAGGTCCACCACGCCTTCCCGAACTCCTCCAGAGAGCAGCAGATACTCATTAGCCACTGGAAGTTTTTGGTCTAGCTTTTGCACCATCCCTAGGAAGAAAAAGAGAAGATCATATTGAAGAAGCATAATTATAACACCATCTTAGGAGTTAATATGCAAAGCTTTCACCACCAAGAACCAAAACTCAACAGCACAAAACCAGACCTCGGACTGCCTCACAGACAACACTAACCATACTTTGTTCTTTGTCACCAGGTCTAGAACCTACCACTTCCTAAGTGGATTATGACACATCTTTCAGAGTGAAAAGTAGTAAATATTGTGTTCGTCATAAACCAGGCTTCTCTTCCCACAGTCAACCCCTCAAACAATAGAGTGACGTGCAGAGTCACTGCATCTGAAATCTCAGTATGCCAACTCTTCCTCCCTTCTACTGCGCCATCTCATCCATGTGCCCTGTTTCTCGCTGTTGTCCCTGTTCTCCACCTCTGCTGCCCATGTGAGGTCAGGCCCTTACTGTCTTTTGCCAAGGTGGTTCTCACTTACCTGGTTTCTCCCTAGGAGACTTTTTATCTGAATCAGCAGTTCTCGGTGTGGGCTGCTGATGCTTTCAAGAGATGATGTGTTTCTAACTCTTTTATAATCATACCAACAGATTATCTACAGTTTTTGCTTGGCACTCCCATGAGATATACAAAGGCAACGGTGTGCGCATCTGTAGGTGACAGTCGGGAGTCAGGGCAATGTTTCCAAATTGCCAGTAGGGAATGGGCTCTTGGCTACTGACATGTACTACTACTACTAATAAATTCAGGGTTGGTGACATAGCTCCTTGGTGGTTTTGCCTAAGATGTAAGGCCCTAAGTTTGGTTCTCGATACCAAAAACATATGAATAAATGAAAAAATAAGGAAAAATCAAATTTCGCTTAAGAAATCCTTCAAAATTCAGGAATAAGAAAGGACCTAGAGACAGGGGAGAGAGGAGGAAAAGAAAGATAAGGTGGGTATGGTTAAAGTATATTATATACATGAATTAAAATGTTATAATGAAATCCACTCTTTTGTATAATCAATATGCACCCCCCCAAAAAAGAAAAAGAAATCCTTGATGAAGAAAAAGGATTCATCTTATCTATCAATCCTTGATCTATGAACCATGAAGGCCTCCCTTTTGAATCCTCTCATGGCGAGAGGGAAGCTGTCACAAAGTTTCTCTGCCTCAGGCTCAAACGTGGAGCCTGACTTCAGGAGAAGCACTTCCGTGACTGAGTTGTGAGGCAAACCAGCTGCCTGTTCACTGAGCACTGCTGTTACCTTAAAGTCTTTCAAACTGTAATTATTCACACATGGCTGTATGTATTCATTTCCTTTAAAAATGAGTGAAACAAGCCTGGCGGGGTGATTAGGGGCTGACACAACCCTGCAGGGTCCCCTTCTACCTGCTGCCTTCTCTCCCTTAACACCTGTAGAGACCAGGGATATTCCTTAGTAAATATTCTTAAGTCTATCTCAGTGGGTGCTTCCTGAGGAAGGCCACACTATGATCCTACACGCTACCCAAGCCAAGTACAGACTTCACTATAAATTAAACATGGAAATATTTTCTCTTTAACGTGTTTAAAAGTCAAATTTAGTAACTTGGACTGAAAGTTATCATAAACATCAAGACAGAGACCCCTTCTCATTGTTGTAACATTTTAATGTTGCCCTCGTCTTTGCAACGTAAGCAATATCACCAACACCACCCCACAGGTTTTAGCTGTAGCTATAAGAGAGTAAGACTGAGCTTTCAGATTTCAGAGTCATTTTCATGACTTTAAAATTTACATGTAGGTACAGTATTCAATGAGATATACTTGGCAATGAAATACTTTATGTTTCATTATTTCAAATATTAATTCCCTCTAGTACTTGGAGTACCATAAATGTGCATTATTAAAGTGAAATGCTGTGTTTAAATAAATAAGTCAGAAACAAATGCTATTGTTTTACTTGGGAAACAGTCTGTTATTTCCACTTAGGTATAAATAACTCAAATTTCTTTTGGTCTTTCATCCTACACAAAAGCAAACTGTCCCTGAGCACATCATCAAAGCCCTTCTATATACAAGCAAAGTCGTTTATACATTAACTATCTAGAGGTAATGAGTCCACAGAAGTGTCATTGAAGTCTGCTTTGGAGTCCCACGACTTTCTTTAGGTACTCTTAGGAAAGGAATAGCTAAAACTCCCTTCTGCCCTCTGCTGGACTGAAGGTACTTTGGCCTTTTTCACTTGGTGAAGTGTGCAGGACATCCCTGCCAGGATGCAATCTTTCCTTCCAACTGCTGTCTGTGCACCTAGTTCAAATGTTAACTCTTCAAATTGTCAATATAAAGTATTTGGTGAAATTCTAGTATTCGAGGGTTAGGGTAATTGTGGACACTTATTCCTCAAAAGTACAGAAGACCTTTGGCCAACACAGGGAATATTGCAGAAGCACACTCACTAAACTCTCAGAACTTAGAAACTCAGTCCCTAAGGAAACATTAGCCCTGTCGCCAATCCCTTATGATGCCCACACTGCCATTTAGCCTTCCTGAGCTCACTAGTCTAAAGTTTTACAAAGATCTGATAACAAACCAGAGCCTTGCCCAGTTTAATCCAAGCCCAGATGTCTTCCTTGAAAAGTTTTCTGGCATAAGTTTAAGCATAAAGCTGAGATATCAGCTATCATGACAGTTGGGGCCCCAGGATCTTGGAGAACACAACTCAGAGGTACAGATCTCAGCTGTACACAGTGGCTGAAGGGATCAGTTCCAACAAGTGCCATCTATAAACTGATTCACTTCTTTTTTTATGCTTATGGGAAGGTAAGATTGACTCAGGCCATTTAGCCACTTAGTCACGTCCAAAGACAACAATGGAGCAAAAAGAAGGTATACCATACCACCAAGCTCATTACCAGAAAGAAGGAATAGAGAATCGCTCCCCTTCTGGGTTTCTCTGCTTTCCCAGGAAACACTGGCATATATCTGCTTTGAGGAACAGATCCTCAAATGGCCTTAAGAGTAAAAATAAATTGGTTTATCTGGGCCAACCATATGACCTTAAACACCCAAAAGGAAAGTATAACCAAAGATTAAAGGGGCCAATATAATTTCTTAAGAGTCCATATGTATAGCTAAAGGCTACCTAACAAGAAACAATGCCAGAGAGGAGTTTGTTAGTTGAGTTGTTAGCCAGGGTGGCACAAGAGACTCCCAGACAGTAACCCAGCATAGAACTGGGAAAATGAACAGCAGACCCCAATCTTATCTGAAGAACTATTGACAACTGATTGCTGGTAGATGAGGAACAGCTGACCTTCCTATAACAAAGACCTCTAGATAGGCTGACTAGATTCACCAGATGGACAAGTACTGGGGAATGGCTTGGGTGCCGACAACACAGCAGACAGTAGCAGGGATAACAGAGTAAAAGGGCTGGGGAGGGGGAGGTTGGGAGGATGCCATCTGGGAAATGGGTATATAGATGAATAAGATTGGGATGTTCTGTGTGATATACACACACACACAATCAACAAATTAAAAAATGAGTTATATTTGAGGAGGAAGCATAAAAATTTACATCATGTTAATTAGTAGAGGTGATAAACATTACCATTGATATCTACTCGATGATTTTATAGCCATACACAGGTGCCAAGGATCCAAGTGCAACTGACCATAACTAGTAATAATCAGATACATACAGATTAGAGACACATGCACCAACATCTAAGTGTTATTAGCAAAAACAACGAGTCTTTCTGTAAGAAACAGTATATTTTAAAATTAAATGGAGATCTTTTTTAAAGGTTAAAATGTCATTCAATTTTATGTCTTACAGAGTTTATACTGAGTTCAATTAACTGTATTAATTCAACCTAAAAATGTTATAGCCACTTTTGAAAGAAATCAATCTTTGCTCTGGAAATGGTTAGAGTATGTTAAAGCTGTAATGAAATGCTTATTCTAAAAAAATAAAAACATAATAAAAAAGTGAAAAAAGAAATCCTTCAAGTTTAAGGAACAAGCTCTCCATATCACCCCCTTAGTGCTTTGCTGATCAAGGAACAGAAGTATACCTATCTTCCTGTCTTAGTCAATAAACTCTATCACACTGCACTGAATTCAAATCACTAACTCCATTACTCACACATGTTAGATTGTTAACATCTCAGCACAAAAGTCCCATCTTCACAGTCTCGTTTATAATTACTAGGTTGATAAGTAATATTAGTGTTTTGTATAGGATCCTCAAAAAAAAAAAAAAAAAAAAAAACCAACAACCAAAAATTAGATTGGCGTGGTGACACACACACCTTTAATCACAACACTCAGGAGGCAGAAGCAGGCAGATCTCTGTGAGTTCCAGGCCAGCCAGGGCTACATAGTGTGGCTTTATCTAAAACAAGCAAACAACAAAAAGCCATACATACAAACATTTACATAGGAGAAAGAACTATAAAATTTTAATGTCCCGTAATTAGAAGAATGATACCAGATAAATTATCTCTATATATCTTTGACTATGTGTACTAAAAGTGCTCTATGTGTAATCTCAGAAATCCTGACGGTTTTGTATAAGAATGCTATCACTTTCTTGGCTTCAACTCATGTGACACACAACTAACACAAAGGGCTTTACTATGGCAGTGATTCTTAATGACAGGAAGGGCACACGGTGGGATGATAGTGACAAAGTGTTCTGCAATTCTGATGTAGCCTCTAGGGTGACAACGCCCTTTGCAGATTAAAAAAAAAAGTTGGGGCGGGGGAGTGGTTCAGTGGTTAAAGAGCACTGGCTGCTTTTGCTGAGAACTGGGGTTCAGCTCCCAGCACTCACATACTAGCTCACAGCTGTTTGTAGCTGCAGTTCCAGGGGATCCAGCGCCCTCTTCTGGCCTCTACAGGCACTGCATACATGTGTACAATGTGGGCAAAATGCTCGTGTACATAAGATGAAATAAAAAATTTTAATGGTCTTATAAAAATATGATTTTTGCTTCATTGGAAGAAATGCCTTTGTCAGCCTGCTCGAGGTTGTAAAAAGCATCCTGAGATG